TGAGGGTGGAGGAGGTGATTTATAGTAGTAAGGTGGTGGAGGAGAGGGAGAAGGAGGTGGTGGGGACTTGTAGACGTATGGTGGTGGTGGAGAAGGTGATGGTGGTGGTGGGGACTTGTACACGTACGGTGGTGGAGGAGAGGGAGAAGGAGGTGGCGGGGACTTGTACACGTACGGTGGTGGAGGAGAGGGAGAAGGAGGTGGCGGGGACTTGTACACGTATGGTGGTGGTGGAGAAGGAGAAGGAGGTGGTGGGGATTTGTACACATACGGTGGTGGTGGAGAGGCATATATGTAAGGGTCAGCAGAAACAATATCAACAAGAGCCAAAATGGCCACTAAGATATGTGGCAAATAATGACGACCCCGGCCGGGGCCGCCAGCAAAAAGCCTCATTACTAGCAGGGATAATGCACCAACCACCAGTTCCTCAAATTTGGGGGATGTACAACAAGACTCTTTGGAATTAAGAGCCAGAAAGAGAAGTAGTGATGGCTAAATGAGAAGCAATGGGCAAAATATTTATAGTAACACTACCAGTCGTTAATGTGGAGCTGTCAATTGCCACCAATTCGATTTGTCTGATTGTGTGAATAAAGACTATTCAAAATATGAACTCTATACAGCTGGACTTACTCTATTTTTATTTTTTATTATTTTTCTTTTCCATCACTAGGAATTTTCCATTGTCTAACAAGTGGCTACCTGCTACATAGATTTATTTACAAAAAGAATACAACACAATTAATTATTATGTAATAATAGGGGGGAAAAACTATTCTTGTTTTAACTTTATTTTTCACTGTTCAATATATTAGATGATTCTATTTACAAGTGAGATCATACAGTTTGGTCTTTATTGTTGTCTTCTATTTGCTAGCCGCCATGGTGGGGTTGGGGTTGGGGTATCCTATGAGATAAAGGTAGGTAGAGTTGCCTTTAATTTGGATATGTTTTCTAAATTGGTGTTCAAAGGGATTAATAATGAAACCTCACTTTTTTTTCTATCGGAGGAGTGCTGAAATTTTGATTAATTTGAATTGCGATTTATTTGATGGCACTTGGAGATCAAATAACTAATGTACGTGCGACCGCAAATTAAAGTTAAAATACAGCACCTTCACCTTTATATTAATGTTAAGATATGGTAAATATTGTGAATAAACTAAACAAGAAGAGATCTTTCAGATATTTAGGCATTTGAAACTCATTGAAGTTTAAGGCATATAAGATATATACATTAATTCACTTTAGGTAAACAAAAACAAATATTTTCTTGAAAATATATAAGCCAGTGTGTTGAATGTTGATGGCTATAGAACATTTTTATTTGTTTGCCAACTGGAAAATAGTCCACAAGAAACCTTTGAATACGACATTTAGTTTGACATTAAAACATCTCAAGAATTCCAAATGGCATTTCCTACGTGATAAATAATAAATAAAATTAATGTTTCTTCATCATCAATTAGAGAAGCATTTTGTTCACTTGAGAGCTAGATAACTTAAAAAATAATATATAGGTTCAATATAATATTCAATGCAAGAAATTAAAACTTGTTTAAAGAGACTTGGTATGCATTACTACTAATTCAAAAATTACAATACCGCGTTTATTATGTAATTCAAAAGATTCATGTTTCTTTATTAGTAAATTTTTAATTTTATTTTTATTTTGTATCAGAGAAGAAAATGACTTGGTATAACCTACTACTACTAATTCAAAATTTACTTAATATATATGTATATATACTTAATTAATTACTAATTAGTTGACTTTACTTTGCTTATAATATAAACCGTTACGCCACTTTTTTTTTTAACAAATTGTTAAACCTTTCAGAAATTAAATTTCCTTCTTCCTTTAGTTAAAAATATATGTTTGCAACAGGGATAACACAATCTGCAAAAAGACAGACATGGTGCGTTTTAATTATTATTTAAATATATGTCCTTGTAAAACTAAAATTAATATGTATTAAAATAACGAAATTAGAGAGACTTGAGTTGTAATTTGGAGAAGTTGACTGAGTCGATAACGTTTCTTTCTCATCCAATAGGTAATCCTTAATATAGAGTTAGTGGGTATATTCAAAATTAATCTATACATGTTCATTTATTTTATTTTCATGCATATTATATAGTTAATAAATTCGATTCTAAATTCACGTCTACTTTTAAGAATTTCTCGTTTTCTTTCGTAAATTAAGAATCATATGTGCCCCTTTATGATCCGATCCCACTACTTCTCCACAATGGAAGAGTACTTGTTATAGTGTATAGTTTTCTTTTCGTTATAATGCAATGATATGAGTATAATTTTTGAAGGTGCATGTGATATCCATGATCAAGTTGCATGTGGAAGCAATTGGTGATCTAATTAGCCAAAAAAAAAACACCTAACATATAACAATTTATTAACACGATAGAAAGAGGTAACCAAAAGGGTATTTTATGCCTACCTATTACCATTTTGTTGTTCCATCGTTTTCAAACAAACAAAAATAAACTCACTCTATAGTTTCTTACATTCCAAATTAAAGCAACTCCACATTCATATGTATATTATATCATTGTGAGAATTATTGTTCATAAACAATGCTTCAATATATACAAAAAAAAAAAAATGGCAGTTTCAATGTATTATTTCTTTTAATCTATAGGAGTAATATTTGATTTTTCTTAAGATGCACAAATTTTTATTTATATAGTAATATATTTTTATTATTAAGCAGACAATAAATATAAAATCTTTCTAATACGTTGTTTATACAAAAACATAACTTTAATAACAAATAACATGATTTCAAAATTATGATGAAGAGATAAATGATGATTTTAATTTCTACGTCTAACGGTCTACAGAATACTCTAATTTAGTGCATTAATTAGGCTTGAATCTACGTGCCATTTCTGACGGATATAAGTTTGAGTTATAAAGAATATTATTAAAATCTTGAAACTGCATATATACATTAATTGTTAGAAAAACAATTGAAATTTTATGAACGATACACATATATAATATTATATTAATTTATTACTGGAACATAATAAATTATATATTGTTTGAGGTAACGGAAACTAATTTCACGCTCCCCAAGCAAATTATATACTATTGTTTTAGCTATTTCGATAAGACAGACATATACTTTAATTTATTCATAAATTTAATATGTTTTTCATCTTTAAATCCTTAACTAAAAGTAAATATCACTATTTCTCTTTATGTTCCCACACTTAAAAGAACGCAATTTGTTCGAACCGAAATAATATGCACAATAACATATGTAAAAAAATTTAAATGAACGATACAGAGTAAATTAGATAATAAAGTAAAATAAGAGTATATTACATATATTGGTTAAAAAAGAGTTTTTTTCATAAGAGAGAGAAAAAAAGAGAGGAGGAGATTCAATTTATAAAAGTCCAGAGCTATTTCCTTTAAGAAAAACAAAAAAATTATTATATAAAATGTATTGCGCTTCCTTTCCTTGAAGGAAAAAATTAATGCAAATAAGGTAAAAAAAAATATTATGATTTTTCATCCATTGATTAAAATTTTGTATCCAAATAAAAGTTCAAATTTAATAGTACATAATTAATTATATCATGTTTTGATGGTTGATTCCTTTGAATGTGGTGAAATTATATATATTGATATATTTTGGAGAGGATACTGCTAGAATAATGCTTGGCCATACATTGTCCACCTCTTTGATTTTCAACTGAAATTTGAAAAATATAAAAAAAAATTATTTGAAGTAGGATCACATGGAGGATCATGTTTTATGTATTATTAATATCACCTTCGTAGAAGGCAATGTCTCACTAATTATATTATTTGTTGTTCGTCAACTATATATCTTGTATGGTTACAAATAAATAAACAAACAAGCATGATCTACATGTTTGGTCGGTAATTAATTTGGTTTAAGACTTTTTCCATAATTTCAAAATATAAGTGAAAATATTAAATACTAATAATGAAAAATGAAAGAAATAGTGTTAAAAATAACCGAAAAGGTTCACTCATGTAAATATAATATCCTAGTGGATAGTGCACACTAGCACTCCGGTGGGGGGGTGGTAATCATTTTTAGTTAGAAATTTCTCATTTTAATATTGATTATGAAATCGTTTTTATATGAATTTTTTATCGGCTTGAATTGTAATGTAGATTCTTAAATTTATAAGTGCCTAAAAATATTAAAAGATGATTATTTTACTTTACTAAATAAAATACTCAGTTTACATTTACAAATAATGCATAAAAAGTTTTGTATCGACATCCTTGCATCTTAAAAAAATAATTTTATTTAAAAATTTGAGTCAACATAACTGTCCAATTATATATATATATATATATATATATATATATATATATATAT